AGCCCTGCTGCCGCCCGACGGCCTACGAGGACGAGGTGTCCTTCCTGGACGCACACAGCCGCTACCACACCGTGCACGAGCTGTCGGCGCGCGAGTGCGCCTGCGTGTGACCCTACCTCACCGGCCCCGGCAGGACGGCGGCCACGCCCCCCGCCCCGACGGCATCCACCGTCCCGCCCGGCCGGCCCCGCCACGGACTGCCCATGCGCAGAGAATGCCGTCGAGGCCACAGGACTCTCGCGATAATTGTATCGAGATAAAGCGTGGGAAATGGAGCCCGGCTCGTGCGTGGTTCAGTGATGCGCACTTCACACTCCGGGAGGCGACGGAGGCGTGCGGGGCGGGGACGCCGTCTCCACCGGGGAAAGGGGGAGGAGCGGGGGGACGACCTGCAGGCTGCGGGAAGGATCCCCTTTGCTTCCGGGGAAAAAGAGAAGTAGATGCAAAGAGGGTCCTGCTTACAGGGAAACAAAGGAAAGTGGGATGGGTGGGGGCGATTTTGATAGTGAGTGTCCTTTCCACCTCCCTTCTGGTCCCTCTGTCCCTCCCTGGCGTGTCCCCATCGGCACCTCCCCTAAATGTGTGCTTCTGTCGGGGGAAGAGGGAGCTGGGATTGGTAAAGGAAAATGGAGCCATTGTGCGGATGAGGAGACTGAGGTCCAGATGGGGAAGGAAGGGGTTGCATTGGGGTTGGTATAGGGGGAGGGAGGTCCAGGTAGACCAGGCCTCCCTCTTCCTTGGGCCTGTCCGTCCCCACCAGGGTGAACTATCTCCTTTCACCAGCTAAAAATACCCGCGCTCTGTCCACCTCCCAGGGGGGACAGGTTTGGGGTGGGCGCCAACCCCGTCCAGCACTAAGTCGGCGCCTGCTGGGGTAAACCTGGGTCCCCAGGGACCTGGGTCCTGGATCCATAAAAGCCCTGGCCCGGCCTCTAGGGGGATTTACGACGAGCCCCCGCAGAGGATGGAAAAAGCGCGGTGCGGTGTTTAGATTTCCCTACGGTGTCACCTTGATGCTTGGCAGGCACGGGGTGTTGGGTTCCCAGACTGTGGGAGGGGTTGGCGGATCCTAGGTCGGAGGAGGGGCTTGGGAGGGGGCGGGCGCTGCGACCCTAGGGCTGGCACCCGATAGGTCAGAGGGTGGGGACCCTTATCTTCCTGCCCCTCAGACTCGAGGGTCGAGAGGGTGCAATTCCCCCTCCCCCCAGACAGCTTTCCTAAAGGCGTGGTCCCCTCTCCTCTTCCCCCTCTCCCCGCTGAGTGAGGGCTCCCAAGGACATATCCTCCTCCCTCTCGCCCCAGACTGGGAGCTCCCAAGAGTACGCCTTTTCACTAGACTGGGCCCCCTGCCCTCTTTTCCAGACACTCAGGACCACCGTCTAACAACAGTGTCCTTCCCAGACTCAGTCCCCATCCCACAGCTGGAGGGCACAGGTCAGAAGCTGCCCCCAGGGAGACTCACCCACCCTGACAGTAATATCCCCAGCTCCTGGCTCCCTGGGACCTCTAGCTGCAGCTGGAGATATTCAAGGCAGCTAACAAGCAGGACTTCCCGCGATCCCTGACAGCAGGGCTTGGAGACCAGGTCTTGGAAAGCAGTTTCAATGCTGTGGCCGGCTGGGGTCCCCGTCCACCCCCACAGTCTTTTGACTGAGGTTTGCTGTGTTAGCTTCCTCCACTGCTTGGGCTGACTCAGCCCGGCTGTGGCAGAGAGGCCGGAGTTCCCAGATGCTGCGGAAGCCAGAGTGGTGCTTGCTGTGAGCCTCAGTTTCCCCATCCTAGATGTCCCAGGTGGCCCTGAGCCTCAGAGAGGGAAGTTGCTCAGTCCAGAACACACACTGGGAAAACTGGCTTTTGGGGCCAGGTCTGTGGCCCCCGAAGCTCCCCTGCCTGTGTGTGCAGCCTGCTTGGGGCCTTCTAGGACCTCGGTCTGCCCATCTCCCACCCAGATCCAACATCCCAACTGCAGGGCGCTGGCCCAGCCTGCTGGAGAATTGGAATGTAAACAGCTGCACCCGCAGGGGTCTGGAGCTGGGGTTCTCAGCAGCACACCATGCATGGGTCAGGGGTCACAGCTGCCACCCCCCCACACACACACGTGTGCACACTGGGCATAGAAGGTCCTCTTGTCCCTGCTCTGACCCATGCTGACTCAGACAGCGTGGCCCCCACTCCCTACCCCTTCTGGGCCTTGGTCTCACCACCCTCAGGGAGCTGCTGGAGGATGAGCACCCCACAGGGCTCTATCCTCCTGAGGGGCTTGACCTTGAGAACTCTAGAATGGTTTAGAGCAGGGATTTTCCATCTCTTGACATTTGGGGTGGGAGCATCTCCTGTGCATTGTAGGGTGTTTATTGCATCCCTGGCCTCCACCCACTAGAAGATATCAGTCCTCTCTCCCCCAGGTGTGACAAGCCAAACAAATCTCCAGACATCGCCGAGTGTCCCTTGGGGGGCATGAAAACCACTGTTCTAGAACAAAGGAGGACACATTAGTTTTCCTTGCAACATTCCCATCTGGAAAATGGTGACATCATCATTGTACCACATAGGCAGTTCACAACAGCAATAATAATCACAAGCACATTAGCCAGAACTGTCACTAGTTGTTGGGACCCCAAGACAGCCAGTTCCCCAGGGGCTGAGTGCTGTGGTCCCCAGGAGGTGAGGCTCCTAGCAGGCAGCAGCCAGTGAGACAAATCTCTGGTAGCAGGTCCCCACCAAGTAAAGTCCCCAACAGCTGAAGTCCCCAGCAGGTAAAGTCCCTAACACACAAGGTAGCCAGCAGGTGAAGGCCTTGGCAGGTGAGGTACCCAAAGCCAAGGTTTCTGGCAGCAGAGACACCCAGCAGATGATGTCCCAGGTTAAGTGAGATATCTGGCAACCAAGGACTCCAACAGGTGAAGCCCCACACAGGTGAGGTCCCAGGAAGGTGAGGCCCCAGCAGTCCAGGCTCCAGGCTGCCCACCTTATGTGAACCAAGCAGCTATGCTTGGCACTGTCTGGTACCTGGATTCTTGTTGCAGCTTCCAGCAGGCCTTGCAGAAAGCCAGGGCCCAGCTGATGGTGCGAGGCCGCAGCGTCTCCCGCCAACGAAAGTAGCTCAGGTAGCGGGCGTGGTCCTTGTCCAGCAGCTGCAGGTACTCGGCCAGGTGCTTGGGGCTCTGGAAGTCTTCCACGTGGATGAAGGCATCGGGAGGCAAGAACTGTTCATAGCCGCTCCTGCTGGGACCCATCACCACGGGCACGGCCCAGGCCTGCAGGGCATTCTTCCACAGCTTCTCGGTTATATAGTCAGGGTGCAGGGAGTTCTCAAAGGCCAAGTAAAACTTGTACTGGGCCAGCTGCTCCATCATGGTCTTCCGGGCCAGCGGCATGTGGGCCTTCCCGTACACGTCCACTTTGAGATGAGTTTTCAGCATCTGGTAGTACTGCACCCTGGCCGAATCCGCCTTCCAGTTGGACACCACCCAGGCCACCAGCTTGGTCTTGGCCGAGAGGTTGACTTGCCCATCAGCAGGCTGGCCAGGCCATGTCTCAAGCCAGCCGTAGGGTGTGAAGATGTCCGAATCCCTGCGGTAGGACATGGTGAGATTGAAGTAGCCATCCAGGGCTTTCAGCTGCCGGCAGTTGCTGGGTGACTCCAGGCTGAACCACACCCAGCGCTGCCCTGGTGGCCTCGGGGAAGGTGGGAGCTGCGACTGTGGCCTGGAGCTGATATCCCAGTGATGTACGATGACTGCGTCTGCCTGCGGGTACATGCTGCGGTTGGCGGTCAGCTGGCAGTCGGCTGAGCCAGGCTGCATCTCTGAGCAGCGGGACAGAGCCACGGGTTTGTTGAATGGCCATGTCCACAGCAGGATCAGCAACGGTGGGAGGGTGGGGGGCCCCGCCGACACACTGGGAGCCATGGTGACAGGTTCCATTATGGTGAGCCCTGACCTAGGGGACCCAGTGGCATTATTTTGAGACACGCGCAGGTAAGAGAAGAAGCACACAGCCAGAAGCAGCTGCAGTAGCAGACCAGTGAGACAGAAGCGCCATGAACGTTGTAGCTGGGCCCAGCCAAGGGAATCCATGGGTCAGAGTAGCTGAGAGAAGAGGAGGGGGCAACAGTATCATTGGTGAGAATCATGCAACAGGAGCTATCAAAGTTACTGTTCATGAGTCCTGAAAGGAACAATTATTATTCCTATTTTACAGATGGGAAAACAGATCCAGCAAGAAATCAGTAGACCTGGAATTCCAACAAAGGGAGCCTGTCCCCAGAGTCCACTTCCTCCTGGCCACTAGACAACATGACCTCTCTGCCTGGGCAGGGATCCCGGGGGAAGGGGGCAATGGGTTGCAAGGGCTTTAATGTCCCACCTTGACCTCGCCCTTGGCCAGTTGGGAAGAAGAGACAGAGCCCTGGAGTCGAGGCTTGAATCTGGGGCTCTGCCTGCAAAGGGTAGAAGGGGGTTGGGTTTTGAAAGGTATATAAGAGCTTGCCAGGTAGGGCAGGAGTGGGCCCTGCTCATCCTGGAGATGCCCAGTTGGTGACTGGACCCGCAGGACTTGACAGAGCTAGGGGAAGGCCTGAGGTAGTCAGAGTGTGGGCACCGGCTCTGCAAAGCCCAAGGAAGGAAACCTTCAGAAGAGGCTGAGATGGCACAGCTGGAAAAGGAGGGGAACCTGGGCCACCTTGGAGGGATGGACAGGGTGAGGCTTGCAAATGGCAGAGTACAGAAGCCCTCAGGGAGATGCTGGAGGGATCTTGGGACTGGGGAAAAGCCCTTCTCCTAAAAGGAGGACACACAGCATGTCTGGATGCAGGTAACACTGCAGACCCAGGGGCATTAGGGGACAATGTGCCCCGAGCCTCGACTGGGGTTTGAGGTGGAGGCAGCCTCACCCACCTGGTAGATGAACCTTGGCTTTCGGTGTCAAGATCTGGCTAGTTTGCTTCCATCCCCAGGTCTTTCCTGTCCCTGTGGGTAGCCATAAAGTCCTCCCAGATTCCAGTCCCCAACCACTGGGGCAGAAATCCAGGACCCCAGACCTGCCCCTCTCTGCTCCATGTAACCCTGGTGCTGTCCATTTTACAAATGAGGAAACTGAGGCTCAGAGAGATACGTATGTGTCTTGCCAAGTACACACAGCTACAGCCAGCATGACCCAGACCCCTAACTCTCCCCACTTCACGTAATCCCAAACTCTTCTCTCACTCTGCAGGTAGAGCTGAAATCTCCAGACCAGCCCCATCCAATAGAACTTTCTGCAATGATGGACACGTTCTCTATCTGCACTGTGACTGGAAAACTTCTTGGGACCTTTGGAACATCTTGAATGTGCAAATCTACCTCTTCAACTGTACCATTTATGGACTCTACAGATCAAGTATTTATGATGAAAACTGAGTATCCAAATTGCATTGTGAGTGTAAAATACGCGCTGGATTGCCAAGACGTAGGATGAAAAAGACAATGTAAAATACTCATTAATACTGTTTTATATTGGATACATGTTGAAATGAGACTAATTTGGACTTGTGTTAAATAAAGTATAGTATTAAAATTAATTTCACCTGTCTTTTTAATTTTTTAAATATGGCTACTAGAAAAAAAAACATTTTTTTGTTGTTTATTTTGGTGGCTGGCTGGTACCTGGATCTGAATCCTTGACCTCGGTGTTGTAGTATTAAAATTAATTTCACCTGTCTTTTTAATTTTTTAAATATGGCTACTAGAAAAAAAACATTTTTTTGTTGTTTATTTTGGTGGCTGGCTGGTACCTGGATCTGAATCCTTGACCTCGGTGTTATAACACTGCTCTAACCGACTGATCTAACTGGCAGCCCTTGGCTGCTAGAAAAGTATTAATTACATATGTGGCTTCCATTATATTTCTGTTGAACAGTGTGTGCTGCTCTAGAATTTCTAAGAAGTGGAAACTGGTGATAATTGATCCCAATTTAAAATGCACTGGGCCCTCTGCCAGAAAGATTTATCCAAATGCCTGCAGACATGCATACAAGGGCTTTTGGAATCAAGCTACAGCCCATCAATGTTTGACAAGTTAAATTAGGGCCCCTCCCTACAACAACACCAAGTCAAGGGTTAAGATCCCCTTACCGGTCATCTTTTATAAAAAAAAATAAAATAAAATAAAATAAAATAAAAAAAAGACAGAGAGCTAATAGAAAAGTAGACCATGGTGTATAGAAACCAGTGAAGGTTAAAGTGATGTATAATCTTCAATTTCTACTGGAATAGGCAATTTTGAAGCCATTAATAACCTATGCAAAGGAGGATTAAAATAAAATATGAGTCAAACAGTAAATGTCAGAAGTGAAGTAGATGAAAAAATAAGTGCAGCATACTGACTAACGCACTAGTTTTTTTCTCTTTAGTTTTGAAAACTGTGTCATAATCAGATCTGCGTTTTGCCTCTAACCAACATGTTATGTTTCTTTCTTTCTCTCTTCTTAATTTGAGGATTTAGTATTCCAGTTGTCATGTTTGATATCACCCTGAAAGAAATCTCTTAGAAAGAAAAACTGCTTTTTGACTGTGAATTTTGTTTATAGCATTGAGTATTATTTTTAAAAGAATATGTCACTGGAACTTTCAAACCTCAAGCTTAATTAGAAATATGCAACACATTAAAAACTTACAGGTTTTGTATTTCTAAATACTCTTTATCATGATATATCACAGATTATATGAGAGCTTATATCATAGCTCATACGAGAACATATTGATTAGACCAAGATTGCAGGTTATATGGCTGAACAGGACTATTAGCTTTAGATTGCACCCTATTTTCATCTAGCCATCTGGAAAATGTAGGCTGTGTTCACACAGGTGGCAGACAGAGAAGAGTACTCGATCACTAAAATACAAACTCCATTTCTCATAGCTCAAAGCATATGATCAAAAAAAAAAAAAAAAAAAAAAAATTTAGCTTCCTGACTAAAATTTAAAGAAGGAAAAAAAAAGAAAGAAGAAGAAAAAAAAAAAAGCACCAAATAGAAATGCACTTAAAGTGTAAAATAAGTTTTGTAAGCAAGTATTAGAATGAAATATTAAATAGCTCATTAATCACTTTCTATATTGATTACATACTTTTTTCTTTTTTTTGTAAACCATTTCATTTGACTGATTATATGATTACATAATGAAATAATGCTTTGGATGTGTAGGGTGAAATAAAATATGTGGTCACAATTAAACTTACCAGTATCTTTTTATTCTTTTTAGTGTGGCTGCTAGAAAATTTTAAATTACATATGTACTGAAAAACAGTTGGGCAGGTCCTCACCAAGCTAAACGTGTGTTTACCTTATCACCCAGAATTCCCCGTCTATGTATATATACAAAAGAATTGAAACCAGGGACTTGAACAAATTCGTGCACACCCATGGCTACAGCAAGCATGACTCACGATTGCCAAAAGGTGGGACCAACCCAGTGTCCACGGCGGGATGAATGGACAAACACAGCATGGCCCATCGCACAAAGAAATGTCATCCAGACATACAAAGGAAGTGAGTTCTGACCCAGGCTACTACCTGCATGAAACTCGTGCGCAGTGAAAACAGCCAGTCATAGAAGGACAAATGCTGTGAGAGTCCACGTCTGTGAAATTTCTAGAATAGGCAAGTTCATAAAGACAAGATTAGAGGTCAGGGGGGTGGGGTGGGGTGGGGGGGGAACNCGGATCCCATATAGGGACGGCCGGTTAGCTCACTGGGTGAGCGTGGTGCTGACAACACCAAGTCAAGGGTTAAGATCCCCTTACCGGTCATCTTTTATAAAAAAAAATAAAATAAAATAAAATAAAATAAAATAAAATGCACTGGGCCCTCTGCCAGAAAGATTTATCCAAATGCCTGCAGACATGCATACAAGGGCTTTTGGAATCAAGCTACAGCCCATCAATGTTTGACAAGTTAAATTAGGGCCCCTCCCTACAATGGAATACTATGCAGCTGTGAAAAGCATGGTATAGGCACAGATCTGCAGAACAGATATAGTTTTTTCTGGAAGCTGACACTTCTACAGTTTGGGAACCTCTCTGAGAAACAGTAACCAAAATTATGAATCCAGACTTACATAAGGAAGCAAATTTTTATTTAAGGGGCCCGGAAGCTTAAGCTTCATGGACTTTGTGATTAAAAACTGTCTCAGTCTATCACAAAATAGTTTCCAAAACATACAAGTAAAGTTTGATCTAAACCTGTGTTGTTCAGTGTGTTTGGGCTTCTGATAATTGCCACATGGCTGATGCTATGGAGGAACTGAAGTCTTGAATGTTATGCAACTTTGAATTTATTTATTTTAGGGCCGGCCAGTGGCTCACTTGGGAGAGTGCGGTGCTGATAACACCAAGGCCACGGGTTCAGATCCCTATACAGGGATGGCTGGTTAGCTCACTTGGGAGAGCGTGGTGCTGACAACACCAAGTCAAGGGTTCAGATCCCCTCACCGGTCACCTTTAAAAAAATATTATTTTTATTTTTTTTGGTGTCTGGCGGGTAAGGAGATTTGAGCCCTTGACCTTGGTGTTACAACACCATGCTCTAACCAGCTGAGCTAACCAGCTAGCCCCTCAATTTTAAGTTTAAATTTAAAAACTGAATAATGTAAAACAAATTTTCCCTATTAAACATAACTTGTTTTGGTAGAAACCCATTTTACTCTAGTCGTTAAAAATTTAGCTTCCTAGGCCGGCCCGTGGCTCACTTGGTAGAGTGTGGTGCTGACAACACCAAGCCAAGGGTTGAGATCCCCTTACCGGTCATCTGTTGTAAAAAAAAAAAAAAAGAAGAAAAAAAAAAAAAAATTTTTTTTTTTTTTTAAAAAAAAAAAAAAAAAAAAAAAAAAAATTTAGCTTCCTGACTAAAATTTAAAGAAGGAAAAAAAAAGAAAGAAGAAGAAAAAAAAAAAAGCACCAAATAGAAATGCACTTAAAGTGTAAAATAAGTTTTGTAAGCAAGTATTAGAATGAAATATTAAATAGCTCATTAATCACTTTCTATATTGATTACATACTTTTTTCTTTTTTTTGTAAACCATTTCATTTGACTGATTATATGATTACATAATGAAATAATGCTTTGGATGTGTAGGGTGAAATAAAATATGTGGTCACAATTAAACTTACCAGTATCTTTTTATTCTTTTTAGTGTGGCTGCTAGAAAATTTTAAATTACATATGTACTGAAAAACAGTTGGGCAGGTCCTCACCAAGCTAAACGTGTGTTTACCTTATCACCCAGAATTCCCCGTCTATGTATATATACAAAAGAATTGAAACCAGGGACTTGAACAAATTCGTGCACACCCATGGCTACAGCAAGCATGACTCACGATTGCCAAAAGGTGGGACCAACCCAGTGTCCACGGCGGGATGAATGGACAAACACAGCATGGCCCATCGCACAAAGAAATGTCATCCAGACATACAAAGGAAGTGAGTTCTGACCCAGGCTACTACCTGCATGAAACTCGTGCGCAGTGAAAACAGCCAGTCATAGAAGGACAAATGCTGTGAGAGTCCACGTCTGTGAAATTTCTAGAATAGGCAAGTTCATAAAGACAAGATTAGAGGTCAGGGGGGTGGGGTGGGGTGGGGGGGGA